TTTCCCTTTTTAGACCAGAAAATTATTTTTTACGAAAATATTGGAAATTCAATTTTTTTTTTTATTTACCGTAAAATATTGCGATACAACGGAAATGACGCAAGATCGGATTAAAAAAAAAAAATCTGACATGCACTGAAGGAGCGAAATGAGTTTTGCAGTGTATCCTATACAATCGTAGGAAGTGAGGTTTCTCACCCCAGTCGGTTGGTTCTGCAGTATTCTTGTGGCTTCCTTGTAGCTGAGGCTCAACAGTAACCACACAGGATGTGTATATACCACTCGGTCCAAAATACAAAGCTGACGATGGAATGAGTCGTAGCCCGAATCTCTAGCCCCGGCGAGGTTAGTACAGATCCTGGAGTGAGGCGAAGCCTGCATGAAGAGACCTCCCACTTCTTCACCCAGCCTGAAGACCAGGAAACACATTATTATAGACAGATGTGGGGAGATACTGCAAATGTATTATACGTATATTGTATGTACGTTTCCACATAATTTTTGAAGAGTCTTCACAACGACAAGAAAGTTTTCATTATACATGAGGTCCTCGAAATCCAATCCTACGACACAACGTAACTCATGCTAACATAACCTTGCACAAAAATAATACATGATAATAATACACGAACTTTAGCGCACAGTAATGTAGTACTTGCAATCGGGCGTTTTTGCGACCCAGGGAATTGACTCATTGGCACAAACCAACAGTGCCAAGAAACTTAATGCAAACCAGATGGTTGATTATTAAGAGTTGTTGCATTCTGAATGTGTACACAAGCTATATTTACCAAAATAAAAAAAATATATATATATATATAAAGAGAGTATATGACCAATGACCCAGGGTTACAAACACCTTTGCGTCTCTGCAAATGTGCCTGACAAAATAAAACTCACCCAAAATTGGTTTCTGCCTTGTGGTCTTTTTTCCTGGACTCGCTCTTTTTCCCCATCTCCTTCTTGAGTGTGCCAATTTCCCAAGCAAAGGAATCGATAAGCTGTGAAGAGAATATATATATATATAATTAAATAACACGGTGATCTGTAGATCTTATGCCCCATTTTGAGTGAGTATTCTCACATTTTCCACATTTTGGGAAAAATGTGACTTCAATATGGAAAAGTAAGGAAGACCAACAGACGAAAACCTACATTTAAGTTGTGGTAGATAAGTAAGGAAGACCAACAGACGAAAACCCACAGTTTACTAAGTTGCGGTAGAATCAGCGTGTAAATAATGGTTCTGACTTAAATTGTTTAAATTTGTGTTACTGTATTGTTAATAGGAACAGCTTTGTTCAGTCAAAGATAATGATTGAAGATAACACCAATGTTATCAGACAAGTGTCTCGCCAAGAATAGTGGCTGTGGTGGATTGGCTATTTCTGTTGCGGTTGATAAGTTGATAAAAACAAAGAGAGTATGTAAGAGTCTCAGTAAGGGAACAGAAAGTTAGCAAAAGCAAAAGTATTGACTATGGAAAAGGTCTCTGTTTACAAACAGAAACTACAGCATTGTTAGGTTCGATGGATGTTTGCAATGCTAACAGTATATATATATAGAGTACATATACATATATACAACTCTTAATAAGTTGTTTTATATATATATACATATATACACATATAAATACATATACAAATACATATATACATATATGAATACATATATACATAAACATATATATATATACACACATATGCATATATATGACCCGGGGGTCACCTGGACCTGAAGGACTTAAATATTAAAAATATTTCTTTCTTATGCCTTAATGTATTTCTCGTGCTCTTTTAAAATGCTATTGCGGGCACAACTGTGACACCAACAGCGTTTCCCGGAAGATCAATAAAGTATTTCTGATTCTGATTCACAGTGTCAGGAAAATATGACACCACTGTAAGGCATTCTCACCACGACCATCCACAGGGATGAACTCCCAGAACCGATTAATCACATGTTACACCAAACTAAAGTAAAAAGCAGGGATTTGGGATATTAGTCTATTCCAAAAAAACAAATCTAAAATAAAAAACAAGTCTATAAACAGAGAGAATGGGTATGTAATACGCATGAAAAACCGTCACTGTGAGAACGGTTTGATTCGAATATTTAAAAGAAAAGGAGATGTGACACAATTTTTAAGGTGGATAGTGTAATTTTTAAGGTGGACAGGGCATTTTTTTTGCATTGTAACAATGTGTTCCACACTACAAAGAGTCTGAGTAACATAAACGTCCTCTAAATAATCTCGTTTCTAGGAACATGAACTACGCTCTCACCCCCCTACGTTGTTTGTGAATACAACTATTGCAGCTTGATCACTTGGTTTCCTTGAGTTTCCTTTGCATTTTTAAACTGCTTGGCATTGGCTCTTCCACTCTTTCATTTCCTGGTTTTCTGTCTAGTTGTGACATCTGTGTGTTGAGCAACATCACATCAGTTTCTGAATCACAGGGAGAAACTATTTAAACGTCAGTTTCTGAATCACAGGGAGAAACTAAACTAAACAGGAATGCATGCATTTGGTCTCAGATTAATCCGGCGATGGAAAAAAAAAAAAAAATCAGATGACTTCATAATAAAATAAAATGCTGATAATTATTCAGATAAATTCCTTTCATCGTTTATTCTTACAACTGCTGCGACCAATGACACCACAGCCAGGGTGACAAATAGGACAGGTTGAAGACTCTATAATTATATAATGACTAAAATCTGTGTTTCCCATTAAACACCACAAGAATGTAATGGTCCGCTACAGTCGACTAGTGGCATAGGTATGGGGAAAATTTCCAAGGAAGCCAAGTCAACTCTGCTTGACCTCCTCACAGACAACGCAGTGCAGTACCATGTTTTCAACACTAATTCATCACATACAGCTTAGAGGGGCACTGTTCTATAGATGTAAAAAAAAAACTCTCAAAAAAATAATAAAATAAAGTACGGTAATTCTAAAAAAAAAAACAGTATTTCTCTAATCTCCCAAGGGCTTGACACTACAGGTTTTGCCATCCACCTACTAACAGTGATGCTGCCTCTCTGACATACACTAGTCTGGAATCAACAGCACCACCCCCCTGTTGTATGACACTACGTGCTGAGCTACAAACCAATGCAGTTACTAGACCTTTTTTGTTAAGTTTCATTTTCCCCACTTACTTGTTTGATTAAGTTGCGCAAGCGTTAAGTAAGGAGAGACACTTTGCTTTTGTTGAATATGTTGTGAATAATGACATTATTGTGCACCAGGACACTGATGCCAATGCAAGATATTTTTTTTCCTTAATCAATTATTATAATATATGTGGCTGTACCTACTTCTACTCATTTTTTGAATAATAATTTCAGCAATTCTGTTGTATTTCTATGAGAAACCACACCATAATAATGTCTAAGGCTAATGACAAAAAAAGGAAACGTACCTTTAAAAAATGGCCCTTCTCCATGCAGAGCTGACTGACAGTCGTGGAAGACATGATGACTGAAACCAACCGTCTGTCTCACTGAATAGCAACGTCTGTAATGGAGTGAACGTACTGTAGTTATGACAAATTAGGTTGAAGAAGAAGTATGGTTTTTCATATCTTTTTTGGGCAGCTAAGGAAATGAGTGCAAAACCACAAAGACACTCTAGACCACAGTGTTGGCGGGACTCTCATTTAGACTTTCAGATGCTAAGAGTATCACAACACGTACAAGTTGATAGTTTTATGCGGCGATACACAAAATTCCTGAAGCACGTCTGTGAAAGTACGAACATTTTGGACGTGTTTCAAGCTCAACCGAAAAACCTGCACAGGCAAGATGAGAACCGGACAACCACCAGTGAGCCTGTATAGGTAGCTACTGCAGCTACTGAATTTATATTTAATATTTAATGAATTACAATTCTTAAAAAAAAAACAGTGTGTTGGTATCTAAAAAAATGAATAGCTGAGATTTTACCAGAAATGTCTTGAAGATGGTGATGGTTAGTTAAGGATGTTAAGGTTTGAAAATAAAAACAGCACAGTGGCTTCACTAACTCTGTGAATAAACCTTCTTGACAATTTTCCATATTTCTATCAGCCTCAAAATAAAACCAGCTAGTTACAGAAAAACCTATCTGTTAACAAATATATCTCCATTATTGATTACAATCATGATTAATCGCGATTATAGATGATTTTTCCCGCAGCTACCTTGGGATTAATCGGTTTAAAAATCGATTCGATTTCGAAGTTTATTGCATGTATGTGTATTTTACGAATAAATACCATATCGAATTCTAAGCTTTTTTAAGCTGTTTTTTTTTTTTTTTTCAAACACTTTTTGTTTGGTTTTCCCATCTACCCTAATGACAGCAAGTCTGTCGAGAGTGGGGGGTTATGTGGTCGACAAAGTCTAGTTTCGACCTTAAAGACCACTGCGTTACCTACACACCACAGACACCTCTTTTGTCAGCACCAGGAGTTGCATTTTCCGGAAACCACAGCAGTACGCAAGAACTTAGGAAACCCCACGCTGTGTACCAAATATTTAGGTTGTGGGTTTGTGGTTTTGGGGCGCGACGTTACAATATAAAATCAGTGTAAACAGACGTGCATAACTCGGGGTTAAAAACATAAACATAAAAAAAAACTACACTCGAGCGAAACCGAGCGCTGACGTCGTTCAACAGAAGGTGGTCAACAACACACAAAAAAACACTTACACTTAGCTGTGTTATTCCCGGTGATTCACAAACACACAAATGTAGCCATATTACAACTTGGTTAGTGCGAAGTACGGGAGAAAACAAAATCACAACAACACAACTTGACTATACAAAGACCGGCTAACTTTTTACAGTACCTTTCATGAAGTTTGTGTTGCTCCAGTTTGGCAGACGACAACACTGCTTCTCCGACAAGGTGTTGTTAAGGTTGTAAACGCCGCCATGTTGACGTAACCTCGGGGTTTTTAATGTTGGCGTTAGGTCGATTAGTATTTCTTTAAAAAAAAAGTTAGCGCCGGCTCAGGTCAGTTCTATCCACTGTCTGCTAGAGGCCATTAGCTGTTGCTTTATGGTCTGTCAAGACGCTTGACTGAAAACACGAAGTCACCCTAGGCTTTTCAAAATAAAATAAACAACGCGTAAAAAAAAGTGACGGCGTCATCTTGCTGTAGGCATGAGCTAACGAATTAAAGCCCAAACGAAAAAGTGACGGCGTCATCTTGCTGTAGGCAAGAGCTAACGAATTAAAACCCAATCGAAAGATTCCCGCTGAAGTCAGCGGTGAATTAGTGTATTTATAATTAGAAAACTTCTTCCTCAACTGTGTGGAGAGTGTGTGCTGCCCAGTCTTCCGCCCGAGTAAACAACGGACACTTACTAAATGCAAAAAAAACAGTCGAAAATAGAGGATAACGATAACGGGAATAGTAAGTGGAAATCGTGTGCTTGACAGTCTGAGCATGGAAGAATCCGATGCAAACAGTGACCTCGAATAGACGTTCAGCTGTTGCAGTAACAACAGCAGCAAACCGACACAAAATACTAACAGGAAAATATAATAAACGTCAGGGAAAAAAAATATTCGTCACATAGTTGTGAGTTTCTGTATGGAGAGGTGTATGTTTTAGAAATTGCTCCATCCAACTAGGGTCTTGTTAGTGGGGAGAACCCCGCTGTCTCTGCAGTGTGTTGTGGTGAAGATGGGGTGTTATGGAAGACGAGAAGCAGTGTGTGTTCACTAATCCTCCGTTCTTCAATGGCTCCTCAAGGCGCCATTTGAAGCTCCATTTAGTATTTCTCAAATCACACCGGAGAAGAAAGTGGATTACAAACAGACAATAAGTAGCGGTACAATACGATAAAAAAAAAAAAAAAATAACCGAACCGATAAAAAAACCCGATAAACATTAAATGGACGTGGAATGATAGACATGTGGTTTAAGCAGTTAATATTGCATGTGAAGTGTGGCAATTACTGAAAGAACTGAATACTTAATTATTAATTAATATGAACTATTAATTATAAATGTAAGTAGTAATCATAAATAAATATTTCTGATAATTGTTGGTAATAATTGTTGGTAATAATTTATTGTGTAGTGGTGGGTGTTAATTGTTGAAATAAAAAATAAAAATAAATGTAGTATTGTAGTTTATTGATCAGCAATTTTAGTGATTATGAACAATTATCAGTATTTGTTTGAACTGTTCTCTCGCCACAGAAATAAATTCAACTACCTAGAAAACAAAAAAACAAACAAACAAAATGATAGTAATTTGCTCACATTGATGGATAGAAATTGGGGTGAAGTAATTGTTGGTACAGGAGGAGGAGGAGAAGAAGAAGGAGAAGAAGGAGGAGGAAGAGAAGAAAATGAAGACAGAGAAGAATAAGAAGAAGTAGGAGGAGATGAAGAAGAAGGAGAAGACGGAGAAGAAGGAGGAGAAGGAGAATAAGAAGAAGGAGGAGGAAGAGAAGAAGAAAAAAGCTAAAAACAGATGCAGGACAATTGTATTTATTTAGTATAATACTGATTACTATACGCCTATATCGAGTATATGTATTGCAAGGAGTTTTCAACCAGTGAGCAGCAGTTGGTTCTCATGTGCGTGAACTGTGTTCATGCTCTTTGTAGCACAAAGGGACAACTGGTGGTTAAGTTGTTAAAGGATTAGGTTGGTGATGGAGCGACTGTCTGCTCTGGAAACACTGCTGTGTGCTGAGCAAGCAGCAAAAAAATTCCCCCTGCCTCCAGGTGCACCAAAAAGTCAAGTCAACTATTCCTGTGTTGGTTTTTACAAAAGAGGTTTAAAGCATTGAGTTTCTTCCCCACCCCGAGGAGATTAATAAAGAGGTGAAAGACAAATCGGCTTAGTTTTTATTTCCTCAAACACAGAGGGGACTCTAGCAGTAACTAGAGACGACAAGAAGAGCTTTGAGTGTCTTTGAGTATATGCAGGAGCTAATTCATTGGCAGGACTTTTTGTTGATAAACAAAACAAAATACATGAGCAATTACAGATGTAGCCACGTCGAATATACTTGCTTTTTTTGGGACCAGAGATGGATAGGACCCTCCATGGTGGCGTAACCAATCAAAACGATCTGACAACTAACAGTGGGCTTTTTTTTGTGAAACACACTGCATTACCTCTGTTGTCCACGGGGAGGAGCAGTAACTATGTTCCACTCTCCCCAAATTAAGAGCAAAAATATATTAATAAATAAATACAAAAATAAATAAATTATATATATTAGTTTAGGTCGATTATTTTAAAAGAACAAGATGACAATTTGAAACTGTTGTGTAAATTGTATTAGTTTAGGTCGATTATTTTAAAAGTCTGTTGGGTAAATTCATTTGAACTGAAATTGTCGCCACAATACGTTTTGGGAACGATGTTAGTTTCCTAAACAAGTCACAAAAGTGGTAGTGCAGTCCACTTGTGTCTGTTCAGGGAAGATTCTGCTGTGCTGCTATTCATTATTTAGCAGAGTCTTACTGCTACCGTCCCCAGTTCATGGCAGTCAGGTCAGGATTGTTGCTCGGTGGGCTGACACAGTACAATGTACTCCAACTCCTCAGTGGAAGTTCTTGGGTGAGACGATCGATTAAAAAAAAACCTATCATCCTTTCCTTGACCTGAGAACAGCTCAAATTTTCTGAAGGCAGTCTACCAAATATAAATGAACATAAAATTAACACAGTGAATAAAAGCCTCTGTATGGGTGAGTACGTGTCTCACAGTAAGAGACCGAGTACACAGAAACAAATAACCAAACCAAATCCAACAAAGATGCAACAGGCCAGATTGCCAGGTTCTTCAAAGTCGTCATCAGGCGCAGCAGTTTGGAGACTTTTCTGCAGCTCTTGCACAAACTGTGGCGAAACTGGGTTTTCTAGGACAGGCCTCGGCGCGAAGGTCTGTCTGCACTGAGGGCAGCTGTACATCATTTTGTCGCCCTCTGTGTCCCAGTAGGCATTAATGCAGTTCAGGCAGTATATGTGTCCACAAGGAATGGTTGCCGGATTCTTCAGTGGATCCAGACAGATGGAACAGCAGAGGACGTCCTCGTCCAAATCCACTCCCTTTTGCATCATTTGTTTTTACGTTGGTATTTGTAAACATAAATAAGGCTTTTTTTTTTTTGTCAAACGGCTTTATCCAGATTTAAATATAGATCCTTCTCTCCGCTTTCTCTCACTATTCATCTTTCTCGTCACACCTGTTGGTCAGTCAAGCTTCAAAGAAATAAGGCGTTAAGATGTTCAAAGGATTCAAAGGCCTTGAGTTGCACACATTGTACACATACCAATTCAAAGGATTCAAAGGCCTTGAGTTGCTAGCAGATAAGCAAGGACAATTTGACAGCATTGCACACATTGTACACGTACCAGACAATGTCCTTTCAAAGCAGTTGCTTATTTAAGCATTAGAGATAAGGTTTGTCTACCAGCAGAAGATTTAAATTAAACAAAAAGTAACTGAATCTGTCAACATTACTGCAAAAAGCACTTGTTTTGTATATATTCAGAAAAAAATTTGATTCAAGGATTGAAATGCATTTATCTTTAGCTCTTGATGCATTGTTTTTTGTTATGTATACAAACAACAAATGTGAGTAAATAGTATGTGCGTGTATGTGTCACATGTCATCATACAGTAACAAATAAGACAAAAAAAAAGGCATGTGTTCTGTTAAGATATTTTATAAAATTCATTCAAAGCATTTCAAAGCATTCAACTACAAAACGATTGGAAAATCCAACATAAAAATTGCTATCAAAAAGGAACATTTAAAAAAAAAGAAAAAGAAAAAAAGGCATTTATTGTCAACTCGACAGCCACACCCTCTGACTGACATTTAGCATCCCAAAGTCATTTTTCTTCGTTTACTGTTTTTTTTTTTTTTCTATTGCAAAATACAGAAGAGTGACATGTAATTGCACCTGATGAGGAAATTACACTTTACAAAGTACAAAATCATAAAGAGAGACAAAACTCAACAACAACAGATATGAGCCCCACCGATTTCAGGTCAGTATTTAAAGAAGTGCAGACATAGCCCCAAAATATCCAAAGTACGATTGTACGTAAGCAGAGACACGTCATCGTATCAATGCTGGGGCCAGAAACACTCACAACCTCTCACTGAAACTAAGACTTATTGCATTGAGTTTATTCTGATCACGATGAAGGGATCCAAAAAATACCTTCATCGTGATCAGAATAAACTCGATATTAACCTCAATAAGGTTATTCAATGTAAAAAAAAATCATAAAACATTTAACACAAAATAACTGCGCTCAAACGGATTTCTGTAGTAATTGTTTTCATATACTATAGTGTGGTAAAGTGAGCAATACACCAACTAGAGTTTCCAGTCAGGACGGTCTATTTTGATTATCCAGTGTTCACGTGGTTTTTTAGCCACATATCTAATATTAATTTATAGAACCTTATTTTAAAAGAATGAATCGTACCTTTAATGTCGTTACTCATGTATATAACATAGACTGGTGTGGCCTTTGAGCAGTAGCTGTAGTGGGACTGCAATAAAAAGTAAACCGTAATCCATCTTTAAAAAAAATAATAAAGTCCAGTGATGTCAGACTGGAGAGTCCCTTAATCACATCATACAACTCCAACATTCACGCAGCCTTGTTTGCATCCACCTGTGTTTTCCTTTAACGTGTTCACAACGTGTCGTCCTCTCCTCCGCCGAACATGTCGGCAAGTTTTTTGAAGCGCGGCCCCCATTCGCCGAGGTTGTCGTAGTCCTGGTCCCCGCTGCTCGAGGAGTTCAGAGACGAGAGGCTTCCTGCGTCAGAGCCACCACCCTCGTAGTCGAAGACCAGTAAGGAGTCGTAGGGGGGTGCTGTAGGGTCATTATCGGCTGCCTTCAGGTTCTGAAAGATTAGCAAAGAGAACAGTAAGGTGCCATCAATTTTTTTTTTCTTTTTCTATTTTTCTAATTCTACTTAGCACTGGAGAGAATTGAAGTGATGAGAAAAAAAACAAAATACAAAGCCTGACAAAAAGTACAAATTCCAGCAGGATTAAGGAGATTTGGCGGTGACTCACATCATCAATGAAGTTGCCAATTTCATTTGGGTTCGCAGGGCGAGGTCGGTATTGTGGAGCAGGCATAAAATTTGGCATCACATCATTTCTGAACACGTCAGGACGGTTGTCTAGACCCCGGTGAAGAACACTTAAATCGTAGTCCTGAAAAAAAGAAAAAAAAGACAAAATTCTGTTACTAAAGAGACATGACTCTTCAAGACTCGGTTACATCCTTTCTCAAAATCAAGCTAAAACATTATTCATTCTATTTACTTAAATAATTTTTCCCCAAGTTATTTCGAGCTTTCTTCTCTGAATAACCATATAAAATAACCAAATAATTTGAACTGTACACACAAAGCAGTAAAAAGGCGACATTTTCAAGTGTTGCGGGTGACTTTCCCGTAGGTGACCTGCTATGTTAAATTATTTAAAAAATTAACAAATAATTCCTAACAAGTGTCTTCACGTACCTGATCGTCCTCGCCGCCTCCTTCTTCATCATACTTGTAGATGTTGTCTCTGATGTCGTCGTCCTGAAGTAGAGGCTCCTTCTGTTCTCCTCCTCTCCGTCTTGCAAACAGCAGCAGCAGCAGCACCAGCACTGAACAAAAAAAAAAAGACAACTCAGCAAACTAAGCCTTTTCCCAGTACTTCACCAACGCTACACCATTGATATTGATTCATTAGTCTGGCAGACCCATCGACTAATAATAATAATAATAATTTCTGACAAAATGTTTCTGTCTACTAGGCAATTTTACAATAACAGACACTAGACTCACTGAGCAGCAGCAGGATTCCTGCAAGTACTCCCAGAATCATGGGCAGGCTGCTGCCACCTGCAATTCGGCCTTTGCAGACGACCTCTGCGCCAGTGCAGTCACACACTTTGGCCTGGACAGTGTTGTCCTGCTCCATGCCATGATTGTCCGCAACCCTCAGGACAACATTGTATTCTCCGCTTTCTAGCTCCATGTTTAAATTAAGGATGATGCCCGTTCCTGTAACCGAAAGAAAGAATTTTTTTATTTACATTACAGAATCACAGAAAAAGTGATTAGACATGTTTTTTTTTCCCCCAACTGGTAAGATGACATTGTTTTCAAACCAGCACACAAATATATACGTACTTGACTCGTTCATGCGAGCTGTCCAGTTAGTCTTGGTTGTGCCATGTAAAGTGACACTGTACGGAGCTGCAAACCCTGGTCCGTCTTTGTCTGTCACTGAAAGCAAATGCGTAGAAGGCTCTTTGTTGCACACCTGGGGAAAAAAAAATTTTTTTTTGCTGATGAGTGGCTGGTAAACCTCTACAATTATTAATTTGTGTTTGATCATTTTCAACTCACTGAGATCATCCGCTCTTCAATAATAGGTGCATTATCATTGACATCCTCAAGCTTGATGATGAGAGTTCCAGTTCCTGTGGCTGGGACCTCATCTGGGGTGAACATACACACAGTTACATACATACAAACAGTCCACTAGTAAGGTTTATGTACAGTAGAGGTTCAGAGAAAAATCGTGGATGGCACAAAACACTGACATTTCAATCATCAAATACTAGGAAGTAAATAACATTCAGTTAAGTAATATGAGTGAATGCCTAATTTCTGTTAATGGATTTAAAGGGAAAAAGTATTTTTCTAATAAGGGTAGAAAAAAAAAAAAAAGAATTATCTTAAGCAGAAAACAAATCCTAATTGCTAGCTGTGATCAGAAATTACTATGTTTAAAAAATGTCATGTAGCAAAAAAAAGTCAATGCTTGATGTCAAAGTATTTTCTTTAAATGTGTTAAAAAAAAAAAAAAAACATAACAGGTGTGAATAAATAAATACCGCAGTTTCTGACATTAACTGTTCCTGTGCATTCATTCTTCAAAAGAAAGAAGCAAGCATGCCACCTACCATTATCATATGCACCGATCAGCGCTGTGTATTTGTTGTCTTTCACAAAGTGGGATTCACGGTCCATGTCGGTTTTCACTTTGATCAGGCCTGTTTCCTTGGCTACATTCAGCCAGCCAGCAGGGTCACTAATTACTTTGTACCTGCACAGAAACGGGGTAGAGTAGATTAAGGCCCTGTTTGCACGGCAACAATACGACTACAGTAGCCTCTGTTTGCATCGTGAAATCAAAATCAAAATCAAAAAAGTGTAAAGATGCACAGGCAGCAGTAGGGATAACGCTGAGGAGCAGTAATTGTTTGGGAAAAGGTCTGTGCAAATATTTTATTCTATACATTTCTTACGTACATAGGACGTGTTCAAACTTACATGACTGTCTGTTTGCGGGCAGTGTCCGGATCAAAGGCAAGGTACTGCACAATGTCAGCGTCAACCGGAAGGTCTTCAGGCTTTGATATCAACTTCTCGATTGGTTCGAATACTGGAGGTTCATTGACATCCACGACATTCACCACCACGGTGGCTGTGGCAGTAGGCAGCGGAGTAGCAAAAGGAACCTCATTCTCCACTGCAATCAACAGAGTGTGCCTTGTAGTCTTTTCAAAGTCAAGACCCTGGTTGGATTAAAAAAAAAAACAAAGTACAACTCAACACACGACCTTATTCTGAATTACGACAATGTTTATTTTGATCACAGCTATTATTACATGCGAGAATTACACTTCGTAATGTTATGGTCTCCTACTAAGGTCAGCTTCTTACCTTGGCTGTCGTAAGGATCCCTTCTTGTTGACTGCCTCCTGTAGTCACAGAGAACAGACCTCCCGGATCGCCATCAACAATTGTAAACTTAGCATTCCAGGCTGCGGAATGTGGCTCATCACCGTCAGTCACTGACATTTTAACGACCAGAGCGTCCACCTTATTCTCAGATACTGATGTCTCATACTGTCAGATTTAAGAGTGGTTTTAAAATATGACAGGAAAAAATGTTGGACAAAAGAAGGTACGGCTATGGGATATATTTGAAAATTCTACATAAACATAAATACACCATAAATTACACCTCCTATATCTGCTCATGTAAAGTGAAAATCAAACTTTCTGTCTGAGACAGTGAATGGAGAAAGTTACACTATGGCAAATGAACATCCTAAATATATTAAAACAGTGTGAGAGATCAGAAGGTATACTGTGGAAAATGATCCAATTTCACTTAATCTGAAAACTATTATTTAATCGCAAATAATTTTTCTTCAATACATAGTGACAGGCAAACCAATTAATAGTCTTCCACTAGATGGCAGCAGATGCTATAAAACAAAAAAAGAGAATCATAGGTGTTGGAGAAGATCTTTGCGGGTGACATTCTTAAATGACTACGTATTTATGTTACTTAAGTACCGGTATATCAACTTTGCTGCATTAACATCACACAATAGGATGTCACCACCATATGAGACTGTAGCATGTCAGCAGCTTCATTTACATGAAATAGGATTTCCAGTTGTTAGATCTTCACTATTGTCTTACGTTTCCTGATTAATCATTTATTTAAAGTATGGTTCCCATGTAACAAGTATCAAAACCAAATCCATAAACAACTGTATGAGGAACGTTTTAAATGTTAAAGCCCTTACCGTGGCCTGAGTAAAGACTGGAGCATTGTCGTTGCTGTCTGTTACAGTAAGAATAACTTTGGCATTTCCAGACAAACCATCTCCTTCCATGTCTGCTGCCTCCACACTCAGAGTGTACTTTGGATATTTCTGTTGAACACAATTAATGCACATTTGTTAATGGGCTGCAATGCGACTGTCTGAATCTATACTTGCAGTTAGGAGGATTTATTAATGTACCACAAGCAGGTATGGACAAAATGATGTACATCTAATCAATTGGTTCCTAAATTCCCTTACTGTAGGCATGCGCACACACACAGACACACACACACACTCACACCTGTCATACGCATTTTTCTACTGATGCCATCTAATGCAACCACAAAGACTGTAAACAATGCTCACCTGCCACTGTAGCATTTATGGCTGTTGTACCATATATATATATATACATATATATATACATATATATATATATACACACACATATATATATATATATATATATACACATATATATATACATATATACATATATATACATATATACATATATATATATATATATATATATATACACTCTTCAGTTACTATTGAAGGTTCTGATCCACATAAATCATTAATCATAATCAATCAGAAGCCTGTTGTCTTCATGGAGTGTTATGTTTTTCAATACAAAGTTAATTCTTCATTAAATTTAGCTTGCCAGCTTAAGGTGTACAACAAAAGCCTCTCTTTTAAAGTCCATATGATGTTTAAAGGTGAAATATAATTTTGGTATAATGGAATAAAATCCTCACCTCTCGGTCTAGACCACCTGCATTAACTCGAATAGTTCCTGTGATGGGGTTTATCTCAAACAATGGGGAACTGGGAAGTTCTGGATCCTGGCTCAGAATGCGGTATCTGATATCCGAGTTGGCATTGGAGGGCTCATCAATATCAATGGCTGTCACTGTGATCACCTCAAAGCCTGGAAAACATACATTTTAAAGAACATTTCAGAACATTCAACTAACAAATAGTTTCAAACTATTAGTTTTTCCTTTATCCTAAACAAGTTCAACAGTATCCGGTTTCATCAACGTACCCTTATGTGAGGCTTCAGGGACTTGTCCCAGGAAGGTATCTTGAGTGAATTTAGGTTTATTGTCATTTTGGTCAATCACATGCACTACAATGTCCATTGGTTGCTCAGCATCTCCTGAACCATCTGCCACGGCATGGGCTTGAAACTGAACACCACAAGACATACGTTTAAAAATGGTCAATATAAAAAGGACGACTAAAATAAACATGCATTCGTAGCTTTACAATTGCTTACTGGTAACATAACATAACAAAATAGTGAAAAGAGTGCTCACAACTTAAATTTTGCATTATCACCACAACAGGAAGATCGGTGAGGAAAATGGTTACCTACCTTGTACTTTGCGATATGCTCTCTGTCCAGTGGTTGTGTCACATATAAATTACCAGTTTTCCTATCCATTGTGAAAAGGTCCTTAGGAGGCTGGTCTGCTCCTGGACCACTAATACTGTAAAAGACAACCACACTGTCGTCTTTATTTGAACGAATCTGGAAGAACAAAATAAGTAATATTATTACCAAGGTACAGAAAAAGCCACGGTGACAATTTTGACTGTAGCAGTTTTAAAATCAGAGTAAAAAAAAAAAAAAATCCAATCACAGTTCAAATACCAACACAAAACCAATCAAACCACATTAAAAAAAAAATCAGAAATTGGACGAACAAAATTCCAAGGACAGTAGAATTATCATTTTTAATAGTGCTGAACATTAAGTTGCTTTAAATATTGATTTATTATTACAGGTTTCAGATGTTTCTATTTATTTATTTATAATGACCAACCAAAGTCTTCTTAATTTGTGAGATACTGTAAGTAAACAGAAAAATGCAAATGGTAATGGTATTTGACTTTGACTAAATCTTGGACATTATTTCCATGGGTTAATGGGAAATTATAAATACCAATTTACTACTAAAAGATTGGATTAAATTTCAAAGGAAAGGAAAAGTGGAAAAGTGAGCTGTCCTTTGAATATTTTAAAATACAGACTACTGTTTTTCTCACCTGTGATACTTTTAAAGGGTAGGGTCCTCTGTGATTCTCCGGGACACTGAGATCAGGAATAACCCAGTCTCTTTTCCTCCTCCTCAACCCACCATTAGACTTAGGGAAATACAGAACAGGTACGTCTAAGGTGGATGCATCCTAGAAAAACAAGTACATGTTTTAGTGAATACTGTGCAGCAGAGAAAAAGAAACAACAGCTAAAGAACACTTAGCACATAACACAATTTCAATAGGATTTATCTTGACAAATGAATAACAGTTGTTAGGCAGGTACCTGTGTGTTGACGTCAGCTTCAACTTGAGCTGTGGAAGGCTGATCATTTTCCGGTGGACTATTTTCTTGCTCCTGATTTTCCCCACGGTGTTCTTCTGTATGATGTGATATCTTAACTAAAACGCCAATTTTCTGACCAGTCGAGGTCCAGGTGTGAACAACAAGATGCTTGTGTCCTTCATGAAGATGTATGGGCCTCTTAACCTAGACAGTTGAGTAAAAAACAAAAGTGTTAATCTGTAAGAGGTGATAAAAGCTTAAAAATAGTCTCTATGATACAGCTTTGGCCAAATGAAAAAAGCTAATTGATGATGCTAACCAACCATTCCTTCCAGAACAAGTTGGGCAAGAAAAGATATAGAGAATGTGGCTTAATGTTCAAATCAACTGGGATGACGTTTACTTACTGACAAAACGCCGCCATTGCTGACAGCTAAACGAGAATCATTTACGGCAAAGGGGAATAGCTTGCGGTCTGTGCAGTCTTCGAAGACAACTGTAAATGTACAGAAGACAAAGTTCTTGTAGAAAAACAAAAAATAATCTGTTGTACATTAAAGGCTGTCAACATAAAAAAAATTCAAGATAAACCCTAGAGATGTACATCATGATACTATACACGACAGTCACTGATGTGTCGGAGGTAACTGGCCCATCTGTGGGCGTAACCACAAAACATCTAACGTATGTATTTTTTCCCTGCACGCCGCAATCATGTGTGACATCACAACCAATTGCAGCATGGCCAGATCTTGATTACATGATTCACATCCGTGTACTGAAATTTAGCACCGAAAGAAGAGGCATTTGTTGATACTCAGTACTACTAAAGCCTCACTGCGGTGCTGAGAAAGTTCGGTACACAGGGTTTATTATAATAGTTTTTAATAATAATTAAATAGTTTTTACGGGTTTATTTCCAAAACGTTCTGTCAATGGATATATATTGCTTATTTTATTTTATTGTAAAACAGGAAGATAAATAAAAGGACCCAAGTCAATGAGATTGACGGGAATAATTGAGGTATTTTAATTAATTTTAATTTAATTAATTTAGTTTTTTTTTTCATATTTGAGCAGCTGGGCACAAACCCAGCAAGATCCAACACATTTTGTTGTGTGTGTATATGTGCGTGTTTAAGTACAATGACAATAAATGCAATTCTTCTTCTAAAGATTCAGTCTGTGTCCACATCACCCTCTGCTGGATTACATAGTAATTACAGTATTTTAGACAGCCAGCAGCAGATTAAACCAAGTTTCAAAACCACAATGTTGATTTACATTGGATTACAAGCGCAAACATTTCTTTCATTTAAGATGTGAACTCTTAATAATAATATAAAAACCTAAAGCTGCATTTAGTGAAGTGAAACCTATATCAAAAGAGCTAACTGAATTGGTAAGGCATGTAGAGACAAGAGTGTGCAGTTATTCTGACTAGAAAAATGCAGTTCGAACTGTTGGATGTGCAGAGCCTGCAAAACAGGCTTCGGGGCTTTGATTTGTCCTGTAGCTAAGAGGATTGCAAAAACATGCATTGCTACCCGAGATGAAACCAGACGTTTGGACTACACATGCACAATGAAAGCAGCTACAAAGGTGACCATCACCTCAGCTGAGGATTGTATTTATTTAAACTGAAGTTCCTTTGCAGGTGTTTGTCCTCTGGTTTTCTTTGCGTAATAAATATTGAGCGTATAACCCTCTTTTGGTGTGCAGATGGTGCCAACTTTTTCAATTTCTAGATTCAGATTCAGAGTAATAGTATAATAATAGACTGCACCTATTGTCCTCTGATAAATCCTTACATGAAGAAACATTCTCACTATTTAATGTGAAAAAAACCCCCAAAATAAACACAAATAGTGCCACTAATAATGAACACAACATCAGATAATCAATTTAGGACAATATTAAAATGTTAACAAATTGCTTCAAAGGTTTAATAGTATAGTATATACTCTATATAAACTCTATATTAGGGCTCGGTGACACGGTCAATACATTTTCTTTTTATAGCCTAAATGCTAGTAATACATTTAATTTGTATTGAGGGGGTAAACTTCTATATCTTTATTTCTGTAAACAATAGAGTAAAGACGAAAAGTGAACTGTTCCTACCCTTGCCAAGTCTTGTGCCTGGGCGTAGCAGCGTCTTCATAACGCTGAAAGTTAACATATCAGCCTGGAATCCTGGTACACATTCTAAATCCTCAGTAGCTAATGCTACATCCTGGAAGAATGGGGAAAAACATAATTTTAGTATTTACACACATTCATGGTTAAATCAATGCTAAAATGTCAGTGTATATAAATAAAGAGAAAACACTTAAATCATTGTTCACGAGAGCACATAGAAAAACATTTATCAAGCCTCGCGATGTGAATACACTGTTTCAGCGGACATTTCATAATGTGTTCAATAAGGACGCAATGTATCCTATACTTCCGACTTGTGTGTTCAGTGTGCCTTTTTGACATCTAATAAAGGACTTCAATTGGCCCCTAATTGACATTTGGAGTTTAAAAGTAAAATATAACCTTTGTTTCAACAAACATTTTATATTAGTTATGTTTTTTCTTAAAAGAAATGCTGCAGTATTACTGCATCCACACCACATTGGAGCTACATTTTATAGTCATTTATCAAATTGCGACTAGTGCCCTATATTATTGGACATGTTTTTTTTTAGAAATATTATAAAACCATAAAATGAAAATGCACATATTATGAAGGACAAGCTTCAACTGATTAGTTTGAAATAATCTCACAACAAACTATTCTTGTATGTACATAAAACTGCTAACAATCATATCTCATGGGGAAAAAGGCACAGACATGCTAATAAAGTTATTTAAATCTAAAGATTAAAGACCACTTCCTGTTCAAAACCTCTTCCTGTTTTAAAATGATCACTGTCGTGCAGCTGTCTCTAAATGGGCATGTATATGAAACAATGTAAGAATGTGGAGTTTGAAACTGTATATCAAACATAAAATGTTCTCAAGACACACGACTGTAAACTCCTAAATCTGACACGGTCACCTTTTGTTCATTTTTTTCCCAACCTTCGTTTTCATAAAGAGCAAGTGTAGGCTGAGGCACATCCCCAAAACTTATACTGGCAGTGACCAAGTCCTTGGGAATGAAAGATTAAGTCTAAGGAAATCTTTCTACCAAATGTTTTTTGTTTCTTTTCTTTTCTTTTTACAATATACCATTGAGTAATGCGCGAGGTAATGTGTGTGTGATTTGTTCAGATTAAAGAGAATAAAAAATAAGAACAATTTACACTCTTCACTGGTAATTTAATACATGTAAAAATGGAAAATACGACTTAAAAAAAAAAACAAAAACATTTTAACCCAACTTGAACTCTTTTGTCTCCTGCCGCAAGGTGGACGAAAGTGATGTACTACAGCATTGAAAAATGAACTTGAAGGGACCTTCTACCTTATATTCTGATTATATGTAGATTCATATGTTTAAGGTTTGTGTAAAAATAAAACGGCATTAAAAGGCAGACACCGAGTGAAAGCAGGAAACAGGAAAAACGACAAAGTGAGATACCGAGAGATTAACCTGCTGGTGACGACACAGGCTGTAGGGCGAGGCCCGCGAGACGCATTCTTTCTACTTTTTACTCGAAGCGATTTTTTTCAAAAACAGACGCTTTTACTAACACACAAATAATGCCATGGTCGATATCAACAACATTAAACAACTTTTTTGTAAGTTTTCCAGCAGTATAAATAAGTTATAGTCCAAAACATGAAAATGACTTACCTGGAAAAGGGCGAGTAAAATGGCGACAGCAGCGAGCTGTTTCGTCCCCATTTGATAACAACTCCTATTCCTTTAACTCAAATTCAAATAACAAAGAAATACTTAAAAAAAAGAAAAAAGTTTAACGGTAGGTGCTCAGCGAAAAGTCAACAAATCCTCTTAATCCAACTACCAATCTGTCGTTTCAAGCGCTGACTGCTTCAACTTTAGACGTGTCAGCGCAGGTACTTCCACCGTCTGACGTCAGGTCACAGGTGCGCGCCTTCAGTGTTCCTGATATGGTCATATAAGAAGAACACGCCTGCTCCTGCCGGCGCAGACAGAAACCAGCAGTTTCTGTTTCTACTGAGTTAGTCAGTGACTAGTCAACGTCATATGACCTTGGTCCAAGAACACGCAGTGTTCAGTGGAGCTGAAGGAGTCGCAACTTTAACTTTCCCACACATAGATTTAAACAACAACAAACCACTGAAACAGCACAGCACTAGCACCTCTCTCTCTCTCTCTGTGTCTCTCACTCTTGTCTGAAACAGAGAGAGAGAGCGCTAGGAGGAGGTGAGTGGGGGAGTAGACTCCGAGGGTGTTTTTTTTTCAAACAGTAGTTGTGGATTTCAAACATGTAAAATATTGTTGTTGTTTTTTTAAAAAAAAAAAAAAACCTAGAAACGAACCACTAAAATGTAAATAAAGTGAAGACGTTGAACACAAAACAAAGTTTAGGTGGCTGAAAAACTTCAAGTTTCAAGGATGTAAGGCAGCGACAAAAGGACCTCTGTGTTCCTCTGGAGTACCACGAACAAGCAGGGACACGCAAAGTACACAAAGAGTATGTCATCGTGGTTTTGTAATACCTTCATTGGGAAATAAACCTGTTTTTTTTTTAAAGCCAGAAAATTAAGAAGGTTTGTGCCCTCCTCCATTCCCCTAAAAGGGAGTTTATTGAATAATTCATACAATATAATTAGTCAATCATAATTTTACTTTTTCCATTTTTTTTTCATTTACTGTGGCTACATAGTTATATTAACCAGTTTCTTAAAGGGCTTTCATGTCTTTATGGTGATTAGCATCAATTATTAATCCTAACAACAAAGCACTTTGCTCGTGCGTTCTTCTGTTTCATGTCCTAATTATCTGGACATTAGCTGACTGGAAAAAGCTCAGTAATAGCTTAGCCTATGACCGGATGTGGAGACAAAGGGTCTATGAAACAGTTGGTTACCCTCGGCTTTCCCCCAAACCCTTCGATCATAGTCACTGGCTGGTATTACTGCTCTGGTTGAAAACCTTACATACAGTAAAAGGAACGTGAGTAAAAAAACACTGATTTTCATCCTTTCTTGCAAATTTTAATAACGTTTCAGTAAAGCATATATATATATATATATACTGTTCGCGTTATGAGAAATACTGTAGACTGGCAAAATTAGATGGTGTAACTGTAATTGTGTAGCTTAGCATGAATCCAACGAGAAACTGTAGATCTACACGCCGGATTGCTAACAGCTAGGACGAGAATTGGTGAAAGGACTCCCGAATAATAATAAATAAATGTGTTTTTATTGGCCCATGATCCCGTGGACCGGTAATACTGCGCTATGGTTGAAGGATCATTCAATTTTACGTAAAATAAAACATCTTTTAGACTTTCTTCTGTTAGTATCGGAGTATGAATGACGTATTGTTTCGAAACCTTGACAGATTATCTTTGAATGATAAAAGTTAAAGGGATATGTCTGGATTCTTTTTGAAGGAAGTAAATTATGAACACAGAAGTACATTTATACACTAGGGACTTTATTCACTTTATCCTGCTGATGTTTCGCTCTGCATGCCAATTGTGAACACTGCAAGTTGTCACAGGCATACCGATGCGCCTCAACCACAAACACTTCCATGCAAATTATGAGGGGAGCTGTTGAGATTCGTACAGGTTCATGAATCACGTGACGTGAATACCTGACCTGAAATGAATGTACTTTAAGGGTGTGGTAATTGTATGATTGGTCTGTACATTTTTGGGAACCTATATCGGCTTGTTTTGATTTTTACATTTGACAATTTTTGACTATCTCTTAGGTCTGACGGATTAAAGCAACAGTCACATTGCTATGCATTTGTCGTACTGGTAAGTATCATCGATTGCTAATGGCCTGCAGTGAAGCCATGTTGGTCTTGATGGCCTATTATTATTATCATATTACGAATCATTTTGCGCCGGCTTTAATGTCTGAAAGGGAAGTGGAAAGTAAGAATTGTGTCATTGTCATGACCTCCGTTTTAACCTGAAGCCTTCTGCACCCATGTCCGCTTCCTTAACCACTAAGCCACTACTGCCCACTGAAACCGGTCAACACAAGCAAGACACAAGGATTCCCGGCCATGGAAAATGCTAACCTCGGATCTGTGCCCCTCCGTGTACTGTACAGCACACAGATGGGAAATGTCTTATTTTG